TTAAAAAAATTTGTATGTTAAGAAGTGTATCTTAAAATATCTGCCTTGACATTTATATTAAAAGAGTAAAATATGTAAATATATCTACATAAACTTTCCCGTGAATATCATCAAAGCATTGGTCTTGAAGGGAATCTATGTATGCATGCATGCATATGAGCAAATTAAAAATTCGATACAATTTACAGTGGAAAAGTACAGTTTTTGTATAGATTATAGATTATTTCCAGACACTGTGGGGAACTAAGCAAAATGGCCTAGTGTATGTCGCAAATATTCAAATACATAATACACCAACCGATAATTTTATATATTCATTAAAATATAATTTGTCATCAGTCTGAAATAAAAAAAAATTATAAATCGGAAGTGTAAAATAGTATTGTGTTATTAATTCAAAAATAAAAAGTTTCATTTCACTGACGAAGGGGGGATCATCCCCGCCCCCCCTGGCTACGCCACTGCATAGTAAATATTTAATAAGTATTGCAGAATATTTTAATCTTGTTGCAATGCATACTTTACGGTTGGATCTAAATTTGTACATCACCCGGCGAACAACCGAACCTATAGCTCTGTTTTCGTATTATCCAGTATGACACTATCCAGTAACTTGCCAGTAACCAAATTTCGGAGAGTAAGCCAATATTTACTCCCAAGGAGAGAAATATGCAACAAAGAACGAAAACGCAAAACCAGCAAGAAGTTGCAATTTTTATGAAGAGCTGATTAATTTGTTATTTTCCGAAGCGGTCTTCTAAGAAAAATAGTATTTCCCATCTTACTATATATTAAATTCGGATTATTTACTCAACTGCAATAATATGGGCCATTTCCCAATTGCCTAGATTAGTATCAACCAGGCTTTGAGCAAATGGCCCTAAAAGTCCCACGAACCAATTTTTTGTTAGCGCCGTTTTACCACCTCTGGTTAATACTACTCCCAAGCTAAACATCGTCATCGACGTTACCGACTCCATGCATGTAACATTGAGTCGGTGAAGTCGATAACAATGTTTAGCGGAGGATTAGTGCAAACTAGAGATGGTGAAAACGGACCTTAGTATGAATTGCACTAAGCATCATACTATCAGGAGGTTTTCTTTCTGGCAAATAGTTACTAGTAAAAATTTATCCAGTAAAAATCCAGAAAAACTTGCAAGTTCAGCCGTAGTTCTTGCTCTCTCAATTTCCCCTCTTTTGCTAGTTTCTTGCAAGATTTCGCGTACGAAAACGCCATCCACAAAACCCAGTAACATTTTACTGGTTTTTACTGCATAGTGCGTACAAAAACCGGGATTATATGTAAATCTCTGATAGGCAGCCAGAAGCCTCGACGCTATTTATTATACGGGCAGGGACCGAAAATTACAGTTATTTTTAAGCCGTTCAACTTGCCTTAATGTTTTTTAAATCCGAAATAAAAGTCCTTTCCGGATAACAAACAAATCGCTTATAAAAATTAAACAAATTCGGTACAAACAAAAATAACGAATGATTTATATTTTTTGTTTTTATAATCTAATACAATAGAAATTCATATACCTGACCAAGGTTCCCTATGGTAATTAAATAAAAAATTTTATTGAAATATTTTTCAATAGGCGGATTTCATAGTTTAGACATTTCAGCTTTAAAGCTATTTTAGTCCTCTTTTATTTGATACCAAACTTTTTTAATTTGGATAAGCAGTTTGTTTATTATTATTAGGAAAGGACTTTTATTTAGGTCTTAAAAAATATTTAGCCAAGTTTATATGTTAAAAAAAACAACTATTATTTTCGGCCCCTGGCTACTGGTGTAAATAGAATGCGATGCTAAGTAGAAACACAAACGATTTTAGGGTCAATGTCCCTTTGCCAATTCTTTTTATGTCCTTCAAGTTGAACAGAAAATTGAAGTGAAAATGCGTTTAAGTCCAATTTGCTTTCTTAAAGATTTTCTTGGTTCCAGCAGTATTGGCCAACACCTTAAAAAGCTCGATATGCAGCAAAAGTTCCAAAAATACTGCGTTTGATTGTGAAAAGGGCTTCACATGCCAATAAATTTTGACAATTTGAAAATTTCATCATTTTGAATTTGTTTGCTATTATTTTCACCGCAATTGTATCTCTTACTTTGTTTTTATGGTTTTGTGAACTATATGTCTACGTACATACATATTTTTGTATAAATTAAAAAGGGTTGGCATGAAATAAACGAAATTTATCATAAGTTTATAACTAATCTGAACATTACTTCGTTGAAATGGATCACCTTGTAATATATGGTTAGCAGTTGGGCTTTTAAGGAAAATTCTTTATTTCTCATTTGTCCCGTTAAATTTTTGTAAATCCCGTGGGAAAAAACTGGCAAATCTAGTGTACATACGAAATAGAAATGCTTCTATTTTCATCTGACATGCATATAGAATCATCTGGGTTTGGTTTATTTCCTTCTTAAAGAACGTATTTTTAAATTATTAATAAGACTCTGAAATTGATAGACAGATGTAATTGCATATGTATCGAAAAAGTAACGTTTACAGTTGCAAATACATATCGTGTAAAAACTCTTTTAGAAATCTCGTTTATATTAACTGCTCTACTGCTACTGCTTGTTCAGTAGGTCTTGGTATGAAAAAAGTGCTACATTACTTATATCAAAACTTCTCCGTATTAAATATTACCTTTCCATGCATTTAATCTTTTCTCCGTGGTTATTATCATGTCGATATTTAAGATCGTGGCATCAGATCGTCCTTTCAAGTTGAAAGCATAAATTGCTAATACATATGGGTGTCCGGGGGTCAAAGCTGAGAGAGTGAAACTGGGATACGTAGAAGTTACGTTCGCATACAGTTCCTGGAAGTACAAAAAATTAATTACTTTGACAATATCAAATATCTTTCGTATTTTTTAAGGTTCGGTTAATGTTTTCGAAACACCTCAATGTGTAAAACCAGTAACCACTGTCAAGAAATTTATTAAAATGACGTCCACCGTTCGCTACGTTTTATCTTAAGTAGAAATACTACACGGGCTTTTGGCTATAATGTTATCGGATCTAAACCAGATTAGTATGGGACCAACTCTGAGACACTACCTTTCCGCTAAAAGAATTGTCGAAATCGGTTGACGTGATCCAAAGTTATGCGGTAACATAGATAAAAAAGAAACAAGTAAGAAAGTCTAAGTTCGGGCGGAGCCGAACATTAAATACCCGGCGCAAGTATTAAATATATGTTCTCCACCTTTCCGAAAGCTACCGCTACATGATAAGCGGGTGTATAAATTGTAAGTAAACTAGCATCCTTAAGTTTGGAAATATTGAAATTTAAAACATTTCTGAAATTTACCTTTATATGAGAAGCGGCCGTAATTTTAGTCCGATTTCAACAATTTTCAACGGTTTGCTTTTATGTGGCAAGCACAATAACCATACCGAGTTTGGTAGAAGTTGCTAGAACGGTAAACGAGATATATATATGTGATCATAAGTGGGCGGTGCCACGCCCATTTTCCAAAATTTTATCATAAACGTATTTCCTGGTAAAGAATTGTTGCAACCATCAATTTTGAATAAATTAGCTTTAATATTTACTGATTTATCGAGGATTTCGTATTTCTCAAAATTACCGTTATATGGATGTGGGCGTGGTTATTGTCCCATTTTAAAAATTTTCGGCCATTTGGTATGCTGTACCAGGGTCAACAACTAACTGTACCAAGTTTGAAAGAAATTGGTGCAGCGGTTACCAAGAAATACACATGTAACTATAAGTGGGCGTGGCTACGCCCATTTTCCAAAAATTTTTAATATTCTTATTTTTCGTCTAAAAGGTATTCTAAATGTCAATTTTGAGCGAATTATCTTTAGTAGTTACTAAAATATGGCAGTTTTCGTATTTCTGAAAATTACCGTTATATAGGAGGTAGGCGTGGTTATTGTCCGATTTCGCCCATTTTCAATACCATCCGTCCTACGCCCAAATGGAAATAGCGTCAACAATACTTAAAGTATGTCGATTCATAGAAAAAAAATGTTGTTCTTACACGGTGGGCAGGAAGCGAAGATAGGTTGCATAAAAATGTCGACAAAATCTGAAAGCAGGGTTGTATTTGTTGATATCTTAAGGTTAAGAATCCGCTTAAATTGAAATCCTAGCTGCTCCTGTTTTAAAGATATCCACATTTTATATACTTCTGATAGGATATACATATTTGCAAAAGAGGAAGGCGTACTTCTCGATAATTAGAGCATATTTATACGAAAAGAAATCTCATACAAATCTGTTCCCCTTTTTTAACTCACTAAAACGGAACAAATCAATGTGAAACATTTTAATTTTTTCCTACCGAAAGAATAATTGATCGAGATTTATTGGGCGCTACCGGTATACAACTTAGATAAAACACCACAATTACCATTTTCTGTAGCGTGAACTCTCTCATTAGAAACACTTTCAATATCGCAATGTATGTATGTATGTATACAATATTGTATGCTATATAATACGGTAGTAATTTTTTATTAAAGGTTTGTTGCTATAAGCAAGTAGCGCAGGCAAGTCGCACTGCGCTTGTGCAAGAAATAAAAATGCTCTAACTTAGGCCAACGGTACTCCTCATAATAAGTAAATAAATTCAAAGCTTGTATGAGATTTATTTTGGTATTTATGTACTCTTCTTTCAGGAAATAATGACTGTTGTACATCCAGAACACAAATGCGATCATAAAGAAAATCGCATGAAAGTATGCGCTTTGTGTGTAGGGCTGCCAGACGTCCCGGTTTTCCCGGACATGTCCCGGTTTTAGACTATTTGTCCCGATGTCCCGGTCCAACCTTAAAATGTCCCGGGTTTCATTTAAATGTCCCGGTTTTCGATTTGATTGCACAAATTTTGCTTAAAAATGACTACGCTGAGAGAAAAAACGCGTTGTAATATTAATAAAAATTGTATGAATTTACTGGGGGAAATAACGCATAGTAAACATGAATATTTTTTATTTGATTATCGTTTTGAAATGTTCGTACTTAAAAACAATACTTTCATACCACGCACACGTGGTGTTGAATCAAACTGAACATTTGAATGCACATTTACATGTCCGGCTGTAGGTGAGTGCACGAAGATGCTTGCCACAATTTGCTAATTTCCAGAGCGTCAGGGTTCAAATCCCATTACAGACAGCATGGAATTTAAATACATTTTTTTTTAACTTAATTATGAAAAAGCATCCGTTAAGTGCAAAGCGCTTCATTTTAATATTGGCGTATTTCAATTGAATATTTCTATACTAAATACTAAAATTTGTATACTTAAATTATTACGAGTTGGGTTGGTGCTCTTTCATATGCGATTTTTTTTTTAAATGTAGCACGTTTTGCATAAGCAATAGTTGATGATTAATATAAGTATGTACCTAAATACGTTAAAATGACATGCACAGAATTTTACAATTATAGCAAAAGCCAGAAGTTTTGAAACAAGCTCACAGCAACGAAACAAATGACTGATATTTTAATGTTACCTTGTATTTATTTTTTTTTTTCGTGAAACCTAGATTACTTATAAGTACCGTGCCGTACAAAATTATTGGCTCGGAGACACTTTCATCTGATCACAATTTCTAATCAGATCTTTTAGAAAAATGTTTAAAATGTAGCTTTTGAGCCAATTAGTAAAGTGCAAGTCTGAAGTTACCAGAAAATTTCGTTGATTTTTTGCAATTATTTATTTTTTGCTGACAGTGTCTTCCACATACAAAAAAATGTCGAACATAGTTTGTATGGAAGAAACTTTCAGTAAAAACAATACCAAATATATTGCCTCGTTCAAAGCCATGAGCAAAATCGTGAATACATGGTTTTCCGCAAAACAAGCGGATCTTAGTAATTTTGATAAAAATCTTAACGAACTCCGGACAGCTTTGACAAGTACTGGAATTTCTCAAACTGTCAAAATCCATTTTATCCTTAAACATTTAAAGCAATCTATTTCATTCTTCAATAACGATAGTTTAGGATTATGGTTCGAGCAGGCCGGGAAGTCAGTTCATAGGGAATTCATTAAATTCTGGGATAGATTCAAAATAAATATGGTTGATAAACCAATTTTTGTGAGTCGCCTGAAGAAAACTGTAATGACATTTTCATTCCAGCATATATAAAAACTTAACTAAATAATAAAATATTTAAATACTAAAATGTGTGACTATATTATATGGTAAGCCAACAAAAAAAATAAAAGGAAACAAAAAACAAATATAAAAAAATAAAGCAAGAAAAAAATATAAACAAATAAAACCAAAAAAAGAACAAAGAGGTGCAAAGTAAGTTGCCTCTACGTGGTGCGCCTTGGAAACGATTGAAACCGGCTAAAAACTTACATAAACTTATATTTTCACACAATATATATACACACATTTACTCACACATACATTGTTGAATATTTAATGCACAAGGATGTTTTTCTCTTTCGCAAAAGTCGGTCCTATCATAACTATGTAAAATGTTGATATCTTTAAAACAGGAGCAGCTAGGATTTCAATTCAAAGGGATTCTTAACCTAAAAATATCAACAAATACAACCCTGCTTTCAGTTTTTGTCGACATTTTTATGCAACCTATCTTTGCTTCCTGCCCACCGTGCTTATAAGCAGTGCCCCGTAAGTGTTTTTTTTTTAATAGATGAAAAAGGTTATTGTCAAATCCTCAGTGTTGTGATATTAATCCACACACAATCATGAACTACTACCAATTGATTTTATTAAAAAAATTTTAATTACGAATATGTAAAAACACGATGCGAAAAACTAAACGCCTGCGCACAGATGGAATACGAGAAATATTTGAAGAAAGAGTGTAGAAGTGATACATAACTTGCAAAACATGTTTCGTTTCCACAAAAATAAAGCGAACACTATTAAATTGAAGAAACAGTCCATGTCCAAAAACCCCGGAGGAACACTGAAAGAATTCTGTGTTTTAAGTTAGCATATTTTGAACGAATTCGGAATGTCTAATGTGGAAATGAAACCAACCTTTCTATAAGGAAACAATTGTAGAAAAAGAATTCCTTTACACTGTATTCATGTCTCCGCCAGAAATATGTGACGACATTATTTAAAAGCAGCTAAGGAGAATGACGACACTATTTATTAGATGGCACATTCAACGAGCCAATGTGCCAAAATGCGGGTATAAACAATTATTGATTATTTAATATCGGAACCGAGATCATATAAGTTAATTGATTGGTTTTCACAAACTTTTGAAACACAAATTATATGCTTTTTTACTGCAGACAAGTTGTTGCCCCAAAACCCAGCAGAAATCTTCCAATCAGGGCTGTCAACTATCCTTAGTTATGAGGTGCCATATTGAGGATAAAAAAGTACCAAAATATGCCAAAAGATGTGTCACTCCTTTTAATCATTCACATTTAGCAATAAAATAAAGCCACATTTTCCAAACAAAAGTGCAATGATAAAATAAGATAAACCAGTTGAATAGCCTTTATAAATTAGAAAATTTTAGTTGAGAAAAAGAAGTGCACGCAAAGGATTTCACAAAAATGTATTGAAATGTTATTTTTTTTACAAAAGTGCCATTTTGGAACTTTGTGCCAAATTGAAAAATTAAGTGCCATTTGAAGTAAAATAAGGACAAATGGCACGGTTTGAGCCAAGTTGGCATCCCTGATTCCAATAACTTACAAACATAAAAATGTGAAATATCGAGGGCTTGAATTCATTAATACCCTCTATCTGCAATTTGCACAAAAACTAATTTGTGATTTTAGAAACCATCTGGGAGTTATTACCTGTCGTTATGTAAGGTTACATTAATATCACCGCG